CCCCCCCCCCCCCCAATTCGCCCTTAAAATGAATCTCCAACCGAAATTCTGAAATATCCATAAGGAGTAGAGTACAAGGTGGCAACGATCATAGTTTAAAGGAATAAAGTCATATTTCGCCCTTTTTTCTTTCGGAGGTCCTACAACTCCTTATCCCGATCATATTTCAATAAGAACATTGGCTAGTTATTTTCGTGTATATTAATTATTCTACAAACACGGGCGTTAGTTTAATCTTATTTACTTTCACTGCAGTTTAAAAAACCTATTTCTATCTAATTAGTGAATTTCTTGTCATTTCTCAAGGTTTGGAGGATTTGAGGAGTTTAAACGACACAATATCTCCCCCGATGGCACTTTGACACCGTCTAGGAAATTACTCTGCGGTATGGGTAGGTATCCGAAATTTAGACCAAACCTTAACCTCCACCCCCCCCCCCCCCCCCCCCCNCCCCCCCCCTCCCCACCCCCCACCCCCAATCCCAGAAGTGTTAATATCTTAAGAAATGGAGAAAAGATTTTCGAAATGTACCGATTTTGTTTAGGTATGAGTTTGATTGAATTTAAGTTAAATTTTATTTTCCTCAAATCCCTTTTCATCATAATCCTAAACATTCGTATCTATGCATTTTAATTAATCTTTTGATTTTAGGAGCGGGTGTTTGTGAGGCCATCTTAGTGGTGACTCCAATGGAAACAGTGAAAGTTAAATTTATAAATGACCAGGTCTCCGCGAAACCTCACTATCGTGGCTTCATCCATGGCGTACGCTGTATCTCTAAGGAATTCGGTACTCCTTTGTGTTGAATTATTCGCTATTGTAGTGTAGCTGTAAGATTTTCTATCCCACTACCCTTTAGGCCAGAAAATTATTGATTCAAAAGATCTTGCCTCAGAAACTAAAATGATGCAAAAAACCAATTACCCAAATAAGGCAAGATAAACGAATTGGTACATTTAGGGAGTTTCGATTCTCAATTGTAAATCTTCATCATTCTAAGGCTTACAACGATCTTTCCTTCGCTTATATTGCCGATGATGATGATAATGATGAGTCCTGTCCACGTCTTTCATGCTTCCATCAATTTCAATAAGTTAGCTATACTTTAGCCGATTGATTTCGCCATGGCTGTTGTTTTTAGCACAATTGGCTTGGGCGATAATTACATTTAATCGGTTTAAAAATCGATGCTATTACTAATACCAACGGAAAAAAGTTAACTTTCAGTTTTATTTCATCTCCTTTAACTAGCACAATTTATTTATTCACGTAATTTCTCTCAAGATTACTCAAGTCTAAACTTTGTTTTAAAATGATTTTATTTTAAATTGAATTTCCCTGTATTTTTTCTTCTTCTTTAAAACAATGATTTTAATATTACATATTATAATAGGTGATTTTATTTATACAGTTTTACTTTGTGTGCAATTATTTGTTATTTTTGTTGGAAAGTATATTAATTCCGTTTTAAGCATATTTGTTTTACAATCTTCAAATTTGTGTTTGAATTTTAAAAGCTATTTGTTTAATTATTTATTTAACTGAAATGAAAGAAAAAACAAAGATTCTCACGCTTTTGACTGGCTAAACAAATGGTATGTGAACCGCTCCGTTTAATTTTCGCCTTAATTCTAACGAATCCGATCGAGTAATCATTACTAATCCGCGTGGATCTAGCGAAAAACAGCCGAATCGATATTTGTGTGGGCTTGCTCCCTACAAAACCGAAGAATTACAATACTTTTTCACTTATTTTGCCATTCGTTAACAAAAAATATATTAATCAATAATTAGACCTGTACTCTAATGTAATCATTAGTAATCGCATTGGAGTTTGTTTACTTTAATGAAAATTGACCACCAAGCATATCTTTTAGCTATCACACCCTGCCATCATTATTTGCGTTATTTATTGAACGTTAATGACGTTGAATGGTTACAAAACCCTTGGGGCTTGGAGTCGTTTTAACTAACTATACCACTGATTTGCGCTTGAGGTCGTTTTGAACTTTGAACTTTTGCAAAATGACTTTAGATCTGGTCTGTAAATTCGATAATTTCCAGAATATGCCCATTGACTACATATTAGCCAAAAATTCAACAACCTTTTAGGTTTTCTGAGATTAAATACCTTTATGTCCACATTAATGGGCACCGCTAGGTATATCAATTTTTAACACGAAATTTCACTTGCATTAGATAATCATAAAAAAAGGTTTTTCTAAATTATATCTACCTTTGTCTTAAAGACTGTAGCTCATTAAATTGTTCTCGAACCTGGAGGAAGAGAACGCGTTATATGCGTTTATTGTGTACGAATTTACTAGGATTTCCTTTCTTATAAAAGGAATTAACCGTTTAAGTTAATGAATTCAACTCACTGATTAAAAACACGAGCAGCTAAGTTTATCTCCGAGTAATTTGACTGAAGATGCAAACTTGGTATATTTCTCTAGAATACTGTAGCGAATGCGACACGAAAAAGCTCTTTGATAAATCTTAGAATTGCAACGAGGTGTAGACAAGTACGAATAGTCTTCAGAAGAATAATTTTCCTTTGAAATTAGCTACACGACCCCCAACTTAACAAGATCATAGGAGGTATCACTTGGGAGAGTCAAGTACAATTAACCCTACGCTGCACGAATATTGATATTTGATTGGTGGGAGGCCTTTGCACGATTGCCCCTCCTCACCTGCTCGATGCGTGAGCGGTATCGTATGCGCACTTTCCGGAAGGTTCATTCGTTCCCATTGGTAGCGTCATACACTCCACAAGACATGACAAACTCACAATCAATAGATTTTTTAAATGCTGTTTTGCCTCCTCAACGAAAGTTCTTACTGGCAAAAGGCATTTCTCTCTTCCCAAGAGTGTACGCTCTCAAATTATCCACCAGAGTGGAAGGAAGTGACAGACTTATTTTTTTCTCAAATTCAGCAGTAACAGTCATAATTTGATTTATCCCAGAATTGCGTTTCATAAACAACTTTATCTTCCTAGATTAGGATGCAGAATTTCACCTTTTATTGCATTTCAATGCATTTTGCATTGAGACTATATTATAGTTTTTTGCGCAAATTCCCTATGGATGTTTAGTATTAAGCGATTCTATTCTCAAGTGATTATATGAGCATGAATCAAAGTTATCTTTACTTTTCTCCTAACGAAATATTTTCGAACCGTCAGTTAACTTCACATTTATATATTATTATTTTACCTTGAAATTTCTATCTGCATTAGAGCACATACTCATCGCGACGCATGCGTTCAATTTTTTGAAAGAAGGTCTGTAGAAATATCGATTGATAAAATGCATAATTTCTAAAGTAAATTGTACTCCGGGAAATAAAACAAATATGAAATTAGTCAAGATATTATTAGGAATACTGACAAGAAATCACGTATCTTACGAAGAGAGGTTTGTTATTGTCATTTTTTAACTTAATTTGAAGTATTATTATATCAAATGGCAAGCGTTTTGATTGTTATCATTAGCCCTTTAGTTGACTTCAGTCTTCACAGAGGGGAAGGAACATCAAAGTGTAAAAAATTCAAGAGAGGGGAGGGGGGAACAGAAGAGTGTATCAAAGACGAAGGTAGATAAGGTGGAAAAAAGGTGGGATGAGTACTGTGAAAGTAGTCGAATATGACATACAGTGGGGTCATGGTAGTTCGAAGTCAACTGCTAGGTAATAGACTTTTTGCCGTATGAGTATACGTTGCCCAGGGTGCACCACGTGGAGGTAAGTCTATCACACACCCCTAATTTGAAGTATTGAACGTTTGCGAAGTCGATATGACGTGATTAATGGCTGAACTGTGCAATTTTTTGGGTGTTACATCAGGGCTCCCCCTTTAATTTTTCCTTGGAGATTTCTTAATGGGAAGAGAAATGCTTAGCCATGTGGAGTTGCTTGAAATCTCTTTAATATATGAATAGATCTTTTCCAATCAATTTTATTAATTAATCTATATTCCTTCCCCCCCCCCCCTCCTTTCATTTTCAGTGATTGCTTTTGCACGTCATGGTTAGTATGCACTCTATTTTAGTTAGTAATGTTCAAAACGGAAAGGTGCGTTAACATTTATTGGTATATAATAGTGTCAAAGAGGGCAGTTGCAATTCATTTGGAGCACCTCGGATTAATATTCCTGCAATTACGACTGGGTAATTAGTGGCCTTAAAAGCGGCGCTTCCTGTGATTTGTCAAGAGCGCACTGTTGGTGACTAGTTTCAAGGTGAATGGGATTCGTCTAAAAATGTGAAACTCTTCACAAATGAACTATTATCATAGGTCAATTTTGACAGATGAACATAAGCTTTAGCAAAAATTCGCGAATTATGCCTTTAAATACTTCCTCATCTTATGTTAAGCGAATGTTTGAAAGAATTAGTGAGTTGGCAACTCTATAAACTGTTGCCAATTTTAATTCTGTAGCTGATCAGTTTATTCTCTCTCTTCCTCTCCCTCCCAGGTCTCTCGGGTTTGTACAAAGGTGTAACACCGACAATCTTCAAACAGGGCACAAATCAGGCGATTCGTTTCTTTACCATGGAGAGTCTGAAAGAGGCTTACCGAAAACACCGGGGTGATGCGACACCTAATCAACCAGTACCAAAGCTGATCACTGGTCTCTTCGGTATTGCCGCTGGGGCCGCGTCTGTCTATGGTAACACACCCCTAGACGTCATCAAAACGCGTATGCAGGTGGGGCATTTTTGGCCATTTAATTATTTTACAATAAAATTATAGACGATGCTTATGAGACGGGGTATAATGAGTATGGCATGCCTGTAAAGATTACATACATATTTTGTTCACATATATATATTTAATATTAATTTTAATATTTTGCAATAACATTAATATTAAAACCTAAATCCGTTTAGTGAAAAGATATTTAAAATACACCCACAACAAGTAAGTAAATACGAATGTGTATTTTACTGCCATAAAAAGGCATGGCTAAATAAAAAAGTAATTGGGAAAAAGAAATTTTTCAAATGAATTTATTTATTCATCTATCTGTTCTTTTGTTAACCATCTTCGCTATTCTGAGTGCTTTAAAAAGAAAACCACTTCCTTGTATTATCTTTTCATATTAGAAGTTGCTACGAGGATAGAAAAGATCTGTGGAGAAAAATTTAAGGCATGATATCGAGATGATTCCAATTTCTTGTCTAAACAACGGCGATAGTAATAAAAGGCCGATTAGAATGTGTTGTTTATGTCTTGACAGGGGTGTATTAAAATTGTGAGAGGCTCCTAAAGGTACCTTCTTTAGTGTAATCTTTCGATTTGTATGTTACGGCTGATAGAATTTTTTTGCCAAAATAGCTATTCAAACCTAGTGATACCTTTTCATTTGGGATTAACAGATACTATAACCTCGGTTTGTAATGCGTCAACACTGCTTTCCAATCCCATCAAGTTTCTACTCATAGGGTCTCGGACGGTTCGCTTCTGGATGTCTGGGCGATGTCGTCGATTGTATGTTCGTCTCCTGTTTTCTCTGGTTGGCAGAAAATTTGTCCACTTTCTAAATGAGTAGCTTGATGAGATATCTCAATGGGGTAGATGCTTACTAAGTTTTACAACATTCTCCAGTTGATA